ATCTTCGGGTAAATTAGACTTACATATTTTATTTTATAGGATGCTAATGTATTCGATAGTGACAGAACATCAATCAACATATGCGATTTGGAGCTGTTAAATAAGGAGCCCAGAACCAGAGACGGGTTTTCCAACTGTGCATATATCTCAGATGTTAAGGACAGCCAATTGTAAAACTTAATCAATCAATTGATGATTTGAGCTAGATAGAACACTGTTGTACTAATATTTAATTTAGATTTGCGTTCAGAACCGTTCATGCATGACGATTGTATTACTTAGTAAAGTTTCCTTTTTTATGAACGTCGATTGATGAAACAACATTTATTAATTGAGTTTACATGAATTTCTTGTTTTTATGTGATATTTAAGTGTACATATATTATTTGCATTAACAATTAAAATGTATTTAGTAAATGAAATTTAAATTGTTATGCCGCGTCGTATCCGACGCGATAAGTAGTACCAAAAATGTATCCCCCTTTTAAAATTTTGTACACCACCATTTAAATTATTTGGACAACAATTTTTGAAATTCCGCCACTCTATAAAAAAAAATACTGGCGAGAAGGCTACTTCCTTACACAACGAATGTTAAGATTTTTTTTTTCTTTCGTTATGAACACACCTGTATTTATTAAAATAATATAGCTGTAAAATCATCAAACCAATCATTACGTATTCTCATATTAATTTGTTGGATTTCTTTTTCTCTTTTGTGAGGGTAACTGAGTTTGGTCTTCTTTTCTTTTATGGGTTTAAAAATACTTTCTTTAAATATGAAGTGAAAATACCGTATAAGACATAACAAATAATAATCAATTCATTCAACAGCAAATTCCAACAATTGTATAATGTATCTTACTGTGTATTTAAAATCATTTGTTTCTAGTATAATAAAGTAAAAACAAATTGTACAGAACAATTACGCTCATACTAAGCAAGTCCAGTGCACCCAATTCCTTCGATATGTACTTAAACCAAACGATATGTACTAAAATCAAAAGAATATGCATACCTGCTTGTTTAGCTCACTTAACATTTATATATTGTCGATATGGTAAACAGCCTTTGAATGTTTGTTTCAAAGAAAGACTTTTATGAAAGAATTGCTACTGTTGTCTATTCCAAAATCTATTTTGCGTTTTCCATTTTCAATGGCCATTTTTACATGTGTATATTTCCATCTTCAATAGTTGTAGGCATATATTGGCAGAAACTTAACCGAATATTCCTCTCATTAGTGTCGTCTTAGTCCTAAAGCTTATTATATTTACGTCTAGTTTGAGCCAGAAGAATAATAAAGAAAGAAACTGTAGGCCTAAATCGAGTTTTGTTTTCATTGAAACTACGGTATGTTGATAAATATACTAGAGTCATCTGCATTCACATGCTCATTAATAGAGAAATCATAATTATATTTATAGCCAGTCTTTTATTTAGGATCTTACTTCATATATAATATTGCCTCATAAATATTTATTAGGTAATAACACCATTTCATTAGTCAATTTAACTAGGAATGTGGTGTGGTTGTTTCTATCAAAACGTACACCCCATTAAGTATAGTCATAGAGGCACTAGCAAGCAGAATATTATATGATTCATTTTACCACCAACCAGCGATATTGAATACACTGACTATTTGACGTACTGTTTATTTAGGACTGTCTGCTAACAATATATATATATATATATATATATATATATATACTTAAAAATAATTTAATTCATTGAAACAAATTTATTTGTAATTTAAATTCTACCAACCAATGGTCATGCAAAAAAAAAGCATACAGCAAGGTACAGGCTACTCTCATTAAAATTTATATCTACAGTTCGCCTCCAATTCGAGACCCGCTTTGGAACCTGAAAATTTGTGGTAGTCTCTTGGTTGGTCTCAAATTAGAGGGCTAGCTTTGTGTTAAAAGGTTGAAGATTGTTATTTGGGTCTTTGGAAAAATGGTCTCGAATTAGAGGGGTATCGAATTGGAGGATGCACTGTATATGTATGTTGAACCTTGGAAAAAGTATTTCATGTATTGTACGTAATAATGAAAAGAAACTTGAACTTAAACGTGCGATCAAATCATGTACTACTACAGTATATGAAATAGAATTGCTACGACATATGTTAAATCATGTCATATTGAGTAGCCAGATTCAATATTACTTTACTGTGTATTTTATATTTTTAAAGACCATTAGTAAACAGTCCCTGTCATGTCATTTGGATTATTACTGCACAATAGTCCATTAATTTTCAGTCTTGACTACCAAGGCCTACACTACCATTTGGCCTATGCCGTAGTTTTCACCATGGAGCTTGCTCGATACACCACTGAACAAGTATTACACTGAAAACCTCATCGCCAAGTGTGCATTTATTCATGTTTATCGGTTCGTGAGAAATATTAAAACTATACATAGAAATGTCTGATTGCTGTGTCCGAGAATTTATAAACGTTTATATCCCTCAGCTGCTAGGGAGCAGGAACATATCGTCAGCGACACATTTGGCCCTTTGTAATGCGTGCCAAACTTAACCCACCGTGCTCAAAATTTTGTAGTGTCTGAGTATGCTCAGACACTATGTGAAAAGAAACTCAATCAATGGTGAATATTTTCTTATAGACAGAAAGTGTACTGATGATACACAAACTGAATTTCAAGTCTCAATGAGTTGTAGTAAATATGTTGTTCTTTGCTATGAAAAGACAAATCCAAAAATGAATTTTAAGACATTGCAATAAAGCCACACTTAAACGAAAAATATAAACTAAATAAAAATTTTGCACTATAGTTTCATGAGAGTATAAAAAATGGCAACGCTGTTAAAAAGTTCACGATTTATTGTGGTTTGAGTAAACATTACTTGGGCTTGAAATCCAAGTTTTGAAACTAGGGTCTATGACCACATCGTTCGCTGCTAGCCTAGGCTCTTTTTTATTAGCATATAACGTTTTAGAACCACCCTGAGCGGGTGCGAGCAGCAGGGTAGGTTTGATACCGTATTATAGGGTCTAGCTAGGCCTAACCATAATCTGTACTAGGTAGGCATAGGCTATGCCCTAGCAAGAGGTCCTTCTAGCTACTAGCAGCTTGACCACTGCTTGGGTATTTACCCAAGATCTTGGGTATTTTGACTTGGTCTTGAGTTCTTGGGTACTCCTTTCAAATCCTTGGGTATTTTATTTTTACTAAGAAAATTAAATATTTTTGTCATTGAGGAAGAATTAAGAAATAACAAAGTATATTTCAGTCCAATCAAGTAAACAAAACTCAACGAAGTGCACATAACATTGTTAATTGACTGTTAATTGCTATAAACATGGGTTCAGAATTGTTTATTTGTGATATGCGTTGCCATTGATCTTACCTAATTAATGCATTACATAATAAAACTTGATCACTGATCTACTGAAAACACTGGCCGACTGAGGGCGTACTTTTCTATCCGTATTCAAAGCCGTAGATATAGAGTTTGCCAAACAAACTCGGTTATAATCACGTGACTTACACCGGCCATGTTGTCACCAAAACAAAACAACGCGATAGGGTAGGAAGTTAGTTATTATAGATGATTAATGCTATATAATGTGAAATACCGTTATGTTGGGGTTGCTGCAATCGATCCAACAAAGAAACAATGTATTAAATTCCGAAAAGGAGGAGGATTTGGGTTTTTATTTTAACTTTGCATGGCGATCGAAAAATCTCGCTATCCACGTAGGCCTAGTAAATTATAAAGCATGTACGTACCACCCGCCCCACTTAGACAGGCCTAAATTTCGGTACTTCTTCGGCCGAACACCTTAAGGTAGTACTTAAATCAGCTTAATTACGATGATAAAAAAAAGGAAGAATTTTCAAGCAGCAATGATTTATAAAAACATGCAATGTTTGCTGTTAAATTATATAACTAAATTTCCAGAAAGCTACATAAAGTATCAGTCAAAGGTAGCTTAAATTACAATTAAAAATAAAAATTGAATCCTCCAATAAAAGCGAAAACTTGTCCAATGCGTCCTGTGCTATGCAAACATGCCAAATTGTGCTTTACCAATCAATTAATTGTGCAACTAAAAATTTTAAAGATAAAAATATATTTTAAAGATATAGACCTAATTGTATTATAATATATTGATTCTTTTGATGCATATTTTAAATCAAAACGTTTAAATTTTTTACAAATTACAAATCAAAATTTCAATGAATAGTAAATAATGAATAATAATAAA